GGGTGTTTGATAAACGAAGTCTAAGGAATTACCTCGAAGCCAAGCCGCTACAAGTGGAGATGTGTTCATAGAAATTAAGACTGTGTGAATAATGCATCTCTAGGTCAGTTACTGATGTGAGTTTGGGCAGTACGTTCTTGTCAATCTAATCCATTGTAACAGAGGGTAAGTAATTCTAACTGACTGAAGTCTGATGATTAGGAAGTTATGAAGTACCTTATCAAAAGCTTTTTTGATACCGAAATGTAGTTTCAGCACTCATTTCTTTTGGTCAGGCATGTACTTCAGGATCTTGTTCTAATGAAGCCGTGTTGCGACGGGTCGATTAGATTAATCTTGTTTCATTTTCCATTGTGCATGATTGGTCTGTAGTTTTGGACCAGGTTTTTCGGTCCTGATTTGTGTTTTGGGACAACATACATGTTCTTCTGTCCGGTCTTGCCATTTCTAAAAGATCGATGTGATGTTATGTACACTAGAGCTTGCATTCTGTTTACGTGTTTTGATGGCGGCTTTTATATTACAACGACCAAGGTTAATACTACTAAGATTATTTTTGTTGATGAACTTGGTGTTAATATCTATTACAATAATCAATGACGAAAAATTATTTCACACAAGAAATAGGTCTTCTTTAAATCCAATTATAATTGAACTGATATGAATGTCAAATGAGAGTTTATCAGCAAAAATCAAGTCTGGAAACATGTACACTTCGTTTCAAGTTGTACATTGTTTGCATATCTAAATTCTCGAAGTTGTATGTTCATTTAAATTAAATTCCAATGTTTTTTCGACTTAGCTAGTCTCACTAAGAATGATTCCGTTGTGGCGAACCTAAAAGATCTCTGATAAACATAATGTTTTCAACTTAAAACAAAAGTAGCTAAACATTACGATATTTTACTATCATCTAGAAAAGAGAAACCAACTGGGCAAACTCGGAGTTTAGAGACAAACTACTTACAAATATATAGTAGTATTGTAAAGATTACAAACTGCAACTTGAGTTCAATGTACTGACCCCTATACAGTTATGTGATTTATCATAAATGAAAAATACAACAAAAAAAGATGAGTATCTTATACTTTTTTCCATTGTAAAAGTTGATGATAGGTTTGAATAAAGAATATTCACGCTATCTAGCACATAAACATCCAATCATTTGAATATTATTGATCTTCATTAATGAATATTTCCTGGTACTACTATGTGAATTTGTACACCGTTTTGAAATAATCAATACTATTAATAGATTGTGCGCAGTCGAAGAGAATCAACAAAATAAGTGGACCCATGGTATTTCGCTTCAGTTTTTCTTATTTCACTTAAATCTATAGACACATAAATTTAGATGAAGACATTTTATGAGAATTTCCACCAGTTTCATAACAACTGGAGGCCGAATAAGTGATATTAAATACAAAATTACGTGTTCAAAAACTTCAACTGGAATCAAGTAGTTCTTGTGTTTTGTTCGGTATTCCACCCCAGATTTCTTTAGTTACCGAAATTATCCAGAACAACTAAGGTCACAAAAACAACTATCATATCTAAATATAATCACGTGTTGAATATGGTTTGTGTAAATGTGAGTCATTCGGTGCAAAATATGTGTTATGGTGTGTGAGTGTTGATTTTTTTATTTAAATTCAGCTATCACATTATAGCTTTAGGTTTTGTTTAGGATCAGATGAGTCGTTCTCGAAGATGAAGATACTTTTGAACATGTCAAGGCGCTTGTAAATTCTTTGGTAGTGATTTTTGTAACATATTTTTAACTTTGACGAATTCTACGCTGATTGTTAAGTGAAACGCTGGAAGAATCTATTTCTAATCGTAGAGATTTTTACATCTAAGTAATTTAAAATGTTCGGCATTTTATACATAGCTTTGTAAATAAAAATTCCTATAAAGCAAAGCCATTTTGCATGGTCGATAGAGATTTGTGAATGGACCACATACGCGACATTCGGTAGAATAATAGATGCAAATGGTTTTTAAGGATGCAGAAATCCTTCCCTAACCGTATTCGTAGTTTCATATCATGGGCTGTGATGTAATGTCAAAAAATGTCTTGCTACTTACGCACTTGATAATAAATTCTACCACTGGATACTTTAGATAATAAACTAGGCATACTAGATCATGTGGTACCTACCAAACAATTTGACCAACGACTGAGAACCACACTATAGACCAGACAGTAGTATGTTTAATACAAGTACAAGCAGGTCCACACAGTGAACCCTGAAGTGATCTGTAATCAGAATTACAATATAAAATTAGTTATATATATTACAAATTATGGATTGGTTACTAGTTTTTTATCAGTATCCAGTCGCGGCTCATTTTCACCAAACATGGACTAGAATTACCTAGACAATCGTTGAAAAGCAGAAAGCATCGGACCTTGATGCCTGGCGGTGAACCTCATATGTTGAAAGAAACTATTATCCAGTGCGTCTTGGTTTCCAATCCTTGTCTAACTTATGACAGCCTGTGATGTAAATCTAAAAATTCAGTAATCTCCATAACCACCTAAACTACAAACTCTATTTATCAAAAATCTCATTACAGAGACCAACATAATACAGTACTATTTTCTTCGAGCTATTTATTTCGCTGTTACAACAGAATGAATTTGAGAAACTATAAAACTGACAGCTCTTCAGATTTTGTTTAGATTAGTCAAACTCCCCGAACAAGCACCACAAAAGATTGTTTTGAAGAAAATGCTCCATAACATCATTTAGACAAAAAATTTCCAAGGAAACGTACTTTTTACTCTGGTGAAAGATGTTCAGGATAATAAAATTTGCAGGTCCCTGTAGGTATTTAGTACCAAAATAGTAAGTACTAATACGGATTACATAAAGTGGTACCGAAGCTGATTTAGTAAAATTACCTCAATTTAAGAAAAACTGATCATGCTGAAACACAACTGAATATGAAAATTAGCGCTTCTACCACAAAAACAAGTCCCAGAACACGGATTTTTTTCAGAAATCAGTCTTTTCCTTCTGTTCAGTGTAATAACACTTAAAATTGTAATGTCAGATGGCATATTTCTTCTATACGAAATGTATGAGATACTTAAATTTCACAGAAAACGTAGATAAATCAAACGGTACCTACGCCAAAAATGAAGTTCTAATCAATATTCTCTTCATATTGTTTTTTACAGTGAATTTAATTTAGAAACATATTTTAAGACATATATATTGGATATATTCGGGTCAATGATGTTAAGCATGACATAATGGATTTTCGAAATGTTTAATTATCGCTTAGTTGAGTAAAATATGATAGAACCAATATGGTATTCCGAAATCCCCATAACCACTAAAATTCTTTACTATGTACATTTGATTATCATATAGGAGTCTTGAATATTGCAGTAACAATACGCTGCATTTCCAATTCATATGATAATTTCCCGATCTTACTTAGTCACCAGGTACATGATTATGCACTACGGCTTGAAATACCAACTTCCTACTCCTACTGAGACGAAGCGAGTTGTAAGCCAGTCGATAGCTCACACCATAGAGCTCCAGCCCCGATTTATCATGGAACTACCAAGTTTATAAAGAAAATCAGTTACAAAGTGATTTACAAATCTTTTTCAGTTTCAACCGGTAAGTCGCTGGTGCAAACTACGCTCCAACTCGTTAGGATACTATTTCAAGCATTTATAGAAAATGATGACTCAAAGTTGAGTACACAAAATTTGTACTTTGCAAGTTATATGATCTTTTGTTAGCCTGGTGATTAAATGCTTCTGAATTGCTGCATCCATTATCACCGGTTACTTTGATCAACATTTTCCTCATTCCCTAGTTATATATATACCTAAGATGGCAGCTAAATTGAAGTAGGAGCATACACAGATAAGTTTCGTAGCTACGAAAACTTATCACAAAGATCAACGTTAAAAGAACAGCTACTGCCTCAGTGATCAGTAATTATTTGAAGAGAAAGCAATAATAAACTATTTCAGCATTGTGTAACCACCACAACTACCGAAAGTGTTTATATAGACGTGAGGTACGTATAAATCAGTAATCCTGTTATCATTTCTGGTGGCCGAATGATCATTAAACTAACTAGCAACAACCTATTGGAGACGAAATTCAACTTGCATAGAGCATACTATTGTGTTGATTAGACACAATTAATTTCAAAATATATCCCACGAACTAAAACTTTCAGCATCCTACTTCGTTACTGATGCTCGTTCTTTTAGTTTTCTCAACACTACGAACGTGATTTACTCTCTTGTACTCACGTTGTAAAGTTCAAAACTAATTATGACTTAAGAATCAATCGAGAGTAAAGCAATATTTACACTCAGAAACTATGAAGCCTCATATTACGTTTTACAAAAGTTGTAAGTTGAACAGAGTAAGAACTTTGCCAGAAAAGTGCATAACGTTTAGATTTCCAGTAACTTATTCATGAAAGCCTTTACAAAGAAGCTCTATATGAGATAGTCTGCAACTTTATACGTCAGATGATTAGATGTATACTTGCAAAACGCCCGTGCCTAACAAAATTCGCCATATACTAATTAAAGGTATTATTAAACAATGTTAGAAAGGTCAAAATGAAGACATGAATGTGAAACTTTCCCCCATATACCATTTTCGACAAATTTCATAGTCGAAAAAGATGAATAAGCGTATCCATTCACTAGGAAATGCTTTACAATAAATTTAGATTTCACAGATCAACATGTAAGTTACAGAGACATGAAATCTAGGTATTTATACTACTTTTAAAATTCCGATGGATCGGTGTGAATTAACAGTTTTGTAGTGTTGTGGACAACCATAGATGAAATCAGGAGTGCAATCAAAGTGTACAAAATTTCTATCAGAAAAATGTGACTAAATTAAATCAGATTCACTTTGAAAGAGGTAATGCTAAGTATAAACGACAATGATATTGTGAATTCAGTTTGAAGAATAAAAACGGACAGAAAATAAAACGGAAACTATTGATTAGTCGGTCGAGTTATTTTCTTAGTCGCTGCCCCAGTCCCAGTCGCATTTGTTTTCTGTACATCCGCTGAAACTGGTTTGTTGGACTTCCCATTATCTACAGTCATTTTTGTATTGGGATCATTTAAATTGGAGGAGATTGTTCCGCATTTTGGGATGAGACGCTCTATCATTTCTTGTGCGTATCTCAATCTGTTTGCTAAGTCCTTACTTAAACCGAATTCCCGTAGATGTTTGAAGCGGTACGTTCTGAATTCCCTGTTGGCATCGATGTAAGTTACGGCACGCATTAAGGGACATAGAATGATTTTTGCATGATCATCAAAGAAGTTTATCTAAAAGACAGTGTGTAAAATAAAGTAATGTTAGCTTTAAGAAAAAATCCCAACGACTTTGACGCTGATGAAGATATAAGACAATAGAAAATTACAACTCCTGAAGCTTTTTAGATAAAACATAACTATCTTTCACAATGCGTACGACACATTGGTGTTAAACATAAACCGATAAAATATATAGAAATCGATGGATATAGCAGACTGTAGCCTGTTCTAAATGAATGTCTTGATTGTGTTGGGAAATTCCTTTCTTAACGAAATTTGGCCCAAAAGTGTTACATGGTTTTTTGTTTATCATACGTGGTCCTGAACTTTAATCCATCGAATTTTATTCTCACCCAATGACTTACAAAATCACTTTAAAAACTGCATAAATTTCTGCTAAAATGATTACCCGTATTACTGAATCACAAACCCGATTTATCTGACGATTGATAATATATAGTAGTTCAAGATGGATAAATTTTGAGTTGGAAGTTCATCTGAATTAGTCAGTCGAAGTATACTGCAATTGTATCCACAATCTATTTTACTTTGGGCATCCGAATATTACTATACTTTACAAAGAGATGGTAGTAAAGTGACATGTATTTCATAAACGTGATGACACTCAAAAGATATTCTGTTTCCAATTTATGAATTACTCCTATGCACACATTATATGTATTATTATCCATTCTCTTTTTAGGCTGATCTCATTAATTAGCAGATTACATTAATAAGTGTAACGATGTTTAGAAGATTGGCGAATGAAAATATGACCAATGCATCCACCACCTAAACGAAAACTTAAATGGTCTTCGCGAGTCATGTTTTCAAGTATTCCACGAGTGTTTAAAAGTGTATCCAAAATTTCATATGCTACTTGCAGCAAACTTACAACCCGTTAATTGCACGATTTATACACAGCTTTACAAAAGATGTGTGCAACGATCGCTTGATTTCAGGACGGTCAAAACTCTCATTCGCATACTATATTTAAGACAAATCATTTGTAAACCAATATATAAAATTGAACGACAATTTCTGAAGTTTGTCGTCCCACAATAGTTCTTGTCCGCAGAACCTAACTTGTTAAGCGCCTCCAAACAATAAACCATGTTCTGAGTACCTGAATAGGCCAATATAACTTTCCTTTATTCATGTCATAAACTGACAGTCTCTGATTTTTCTTTTGTTCATCTAAATCGCCTGCAAATAATTGAACGACTAACATGTTAGCCCACTTCGGTCACCTATCACCGTGAGACTATGTATGCTAACGTTTCTTGCATTAAATATTCAAGTCAGAGCCTCAGAGTGTCTATATTAAAGTATACACTATCGTGAAGGTTAGCATGCAATATTACAACATTTACAATGATAAGTGATGAGGAAACAGATTTTAAACTGAGGATCACAAGGTGGTCAAAGAACTTTTCAATGAGTTTTTACACAATGCGATGAAAATGTGTTATGGCAACCAATCTGTGATTGAATTGAACCACTTAATTTGAAAACATAACTAAATTAAAAAGAAAATATATCCAGTTTTCACTTTTCTCTTGATAAATTTAGGCAAAGCGAGAATAAAAATATTACCAAGATAGAAAAAATTCACTCGAGAACCCTGGTTACAACCAGACACAATTAATTCATTTAATTCCCCAGATAACGTTTTTGCACTGGCTATGCTCTCAACTGGTCATACTATTGTATAAGTCACATAACTTTCAATCATACTTGTATCTAATTGGCTTGCTACTGAACTGTTGTTGTGAATATAGTAAAGTAGTGATCCATTTGGTTAGAGAATTCGACTTACATTAGATTATAGCCTTAAGAGGATTTCAGCAGGATTTCCGCAAAATACAAGACTTGATAACTCACAAAGAACCACTATTTCGTCACCCTTCATCACGTCGTGCTGGTAGGGTATGGCAACTTTTGTTCCAGGGTGTACGTCGATGATGGCTGACCGACTAGTTAACTAATTTTCCATCAAGCTCAAAAATATTTATGTATAACTCTCTACAATCCCTAACTCAAAACAGGTACTTTGATATAATAACAATGTACATACTAATAAATTATGTAAACATGTTACGATGATCATTCTATCAAAAATAAAAACTTTGTCTCATGTTATTTATTGATATTAGAGATATTTAAACTCACTTGCAACGTTCCATTGCTTAAATGCAGTACAATAGCTGAGCGTGTTCTAAACCATCGGCGAAGAAAGGGTAGACGAGTCATGGCATCAGTGTCCGGTCGCGCAATATTCTCACCAGCCTGGGTTAATTTAGAAGCACATTAAAATGATTGGATTAATCAAAACTAATAACTACGCATAGTGTAAACCAGTCCTCATGACTGAAAAGTTTTAAAAAACGTGGTTTAAGAAATGAATGTACACCACAGTTTATTTCGAACAGAAAATAAGACGAAATCAACCCGTTTGGTAACTAATAGTAAGCATTATCAAATTATCTTATAATGCAATACACTTTTAACCACGCAGTGGGGTGAATTTAGGGTTTACTGTGTTTGATCTCTAACTACAAGATATGTATGACAGAAATCAGAGTTAATAAACTAGGTATCAATGGAACATGTGCGGAGTTTAAGTAAGATTTTTCATCAAGAACTAATCATGAAAGTCGAAATTTGAAGATCATGTATTAAGTAACTGAGGAATCGAGGTTTTCGGGAAAATATTGCTAGTGTTTTCCTGAAAACCAAATGACAAATTAAACATTTTGACAAATCAATATTTCAAGCGGCTTAACATGTACGCAGAAAAAAGGCATTTGATACATGATAAAGAATGATGAAATTATTTTAATCCCTTAATTTCCGTATTGTAAGACAAGATAATTATGGCCCTGTACCCTGAATAATTATGATGCGGATGCCCTGCTCCTGAAAGTAACCAACTTGCACTTTAGATTGAAGCGAATGAGGTATTTTATTCATGACTATCTTATATGAGCATCTAAGTGCCACATAAATTGACTGAAAATCTGAAAGGAGGAAGACGGAACTATTATGTCAGTCAGTTGCAATGTAGAACCTAGTACGTATCTACATCGGTTCAAGTTGCCGTACAACATTAGCACAGAGATGAAATTCTTAGAACAAATATTCGAGTAATTGAGGTAATAACGGCATCAGTGTTAATAAAAAAGACCAGTCATCGAAGACGCGATTCAAAAAATATAATTAGTAAAATAACATTATAAGGAACTAAAAAGTTTAGAATCTGGAGGAAGACAAAGAGCGAGTCCATTGCAAACAATTTTGAGCCATGTCATTTAAGATCTCTAAGTATTGGTTAATGTAATTACGCGGACTTCAACCACGTAGCTTAGACCTGCTAACATGTTTGGATCCAAATGTTAATAACTTCATGGGTTGGTGCCACGTCCTGGCTTGATCACCCCTAGCTTTCTTCTAGCCTACTCCTACACCAGACAGCATCGCCCATCGAGCTAGGCGGTGGTTGGATATACGTAACGCATGTCTTAACCACCTCAGCTGATAAATGTTTTCTGCTTCACCAACCGATTTCCCATTTTTACCTAGTATCGTATCTCTAATCTAGGCATTGCTCATTCGGTGGTTCCCAAAATAAACGAGCAATGCTTCGAAAATACCTATGATCGAATGCTATTAACCTACGAATTTCCTGTTATTATTGGCCATGTTTTACACCCATAAAGTAGAGCATAGCGAACTGCTGAGCAGTAAACTTGTCGTTTAGTTGACACACGGATATCTCACATATACCACAAGTGACGTAAGTTGAGGAGACCCCAAATCTGTGCCGAGACTTCGTCAGACATCGTACCATCAGTACTGATGAGAATACCGAAGATAAGTGGAGCGATCGATGCATTCAACTACTCCACTCCCTATTATTAATTCAGATGCCGACGTAGGCCAAACTTGAATTAAAAATTAGAATTTGGAGGGAGGGGATCGCATCCGAAAAATGCTTTTATTGTTTCTCAAGATGGTCAGAAAACTGCGTAGAAAGGTGAGTCTGTTCCCTAGAAAAACGACAATAGATATACAACCAAGTTATTGTCCAGAAAGTATAGGTCAGAGTGGACATATTGTGAACAAATAACCTGACGAATTCAATTAGCAATCCGATAACTCGTCAGGTAACTAGTGTGAACAAAGAAACTCGTAAACTAAAAATCAACCGGCAGATACAATTAGGGGCATGAAAGAAAATCTTTAGTCTAGTAATACTAAAAGCTGATAAGTATAGAGATAAACTGCTATTCGATGGAGAGGTAATGTTTACAAAACTTCCAAGGAACCAATAAACTACCAAATTTAGTTAGACACCGATAAATTATTTGTTACTGGACGTCCATCATTTGATGAAACTGCAGCACCTATTCATCCAATGTTTGAAAAAACCTAAAATAAAGTTCTGTGGATAACCAAACAAGGGGTGTTTGTGTACTCAACTTTGGGTCATCGGTTTTATTAAGTTAATACAATCCGACCGAGCAACATAATGGCTGAAATCTTTCAACCACTGATCGCACGATCTTATTGTCTTATTTAAACATAAACTGGTACAAAGGGGTAACTAAAATATATATCCACCACACAAAGTAGTTATTATTCAGTGTGTGCGGGTTGGGACAATGTCCGAATACCCAGCCCGAAACGTGGTCTTCTTACTAGACCACCTATCGAGCCTTTGACTTGGAGGTCTAATCCAAAGGTTGGTGGGGCAACTTTTGTAGGTGCGACCCCACGATGACCAAGGGTAGGTTCATACGCCATTTGTTCTCTACGGACCCTATGTAAACCATTAGTTCGGAATAAGAATTTTCTAACTCCCCCAGATGGGTTCTCCGTAACCGCTAACCGAGTTTAAGCGTCGAATATGCGCCTTTCGTTCCCCCGATTTCGTAACCACCCTCGCTACGAGGCGTGGCCGTATGAGAATTTCGAGTGGACCATCTACACCCTCGGCTGTACCAGGGCATCTGAGAGGGCACAGAGAAATGGACGCAAGGAAACCCCGGAACATGAACTAGTGAATACATTTTGTCTGTGTATGTAGCTTCGGACGGTAATTTCCTGGGGAAAACAAAATGCAACATAGTGCAATGGATCAATATGAGAAATACGTACCTTCCGTACAAAAAATTTACTCCACCGGCATATCATACTAAAAGCCAGTAATTACTTAACTCAAAAATATTATACTAACATCCTATGGAAAATCTGTACTCAACTAAGTTACAGTCCTATATAAACGGGTACAAGTGACGAAACGAGCACACCAAAAGCTTACCTTAAGAAGATTCTGGTGCATATAGGCTTTAAAGCATGTGAGAAGCGTCACTTTTTTTGACAGATATTCCGGATGCTTTGACAGAGTAAACAAACGTTCAGTCCCATGTTCGTCGATGTACTGAAGATTCTGTTCATTGGTTGTTAAAAGGAGTCTTGTCACGTCATTGAATACGACACCATATGAGTTATCACACAATTGATATCCCAAACCATATTTATCTGAATAATCAACCCATTTGCTGACCCAGTATATTGGACAGGCTGCTGGAACTTCACTTTCTTCCATTGCTTTTGGTGATGAATCGTCAAATTCCTTGGGTTCCTCTAATACACGACCTAACTGAAAAGCACTATATTTTTGGAAATGTATGACTCACTTTGTGCTTAAGTAATCCAAGCCAGCAGTCATCCGGCTGAACGGCTTTATCAACTGCAGCACCGCCAACGTTACCAAGGGCACCACCACCACTGGTAATAGGAACATCCTCAACGGGATTGATGTCAGACAATGGGCGACGTCCGGTTTGTGGTCGATGCATAGTATCAAATCTGGGGCATGTTGAAAGACAACTTACAGGAAGACCACTAGGTGTAAAGTCTTTAAAGAAATCATGATCGAGCACATTGAACATATTTGGTCTTCTTTCTGGATCGGCATGTAAGAGTGAGCGGATGAGCATTGAGGCATTCGTTGACACACGAATCGGAATGCGGTACTCATTTTGTTTAATGCGTGCATACGTTTCTTCCAGTTTAGTAGTTTCGAAAGGAGGACTCCCTACTAGAAGAGTATAACTAAATAATAAGAATAAAAGCAAAAACTACATACAGTATACAACCAAGAGACCATGAGTCTACTTCGAAGCTGTGTCCGCCTTTACTTAAAATTTCGGGAGCAATATAGTTGGGAGTACCACACAACGTTTTTTTCTTCTCACCCTCATGACTGATCCTCGAGGCAAGCCCGAAATCCCCTATTTTAATTTTCAGGTTGTCGTCGAGGAAAAGGTTGGCCAGCTTAAGATCTCTATGCATGACCTTATTTTGATGAAGGTATTGACAGCCATGGACTATTTGTTTCATAAAATACCTGGCCTCTGGTTCAGTGACGTACTTCCTACGCTTGTGTAGTTCTAAAAGCGACTATTTCAATAACTTAAATGATGGGATAACCTTACTCTGCGGTTACAAAGTTCAAGCAAAATGTATATGAATTCACTATCCTCGAAGTTTCCATAGAATCTAACAACATTTTCATGTTTTAGAGAACGATGAATACTGATCTCCTGGCGCATTTTCTCTTTTTGGGAGTCTTTGACCAAGGCTGACTTGTTAATAACTTTACCGGCATACTTTTCACCTGTTTTTCGATCAATAAGTTCATAGCATTTTGCGAATCCTCCCTGAAAACACAATGCCTAAAAATCAATAAATACCTTTCCCAAAAACCGTCCGCGGAGAAACTCCCGTTTTTTTGTAACATCTACTATAACCTCAGGAGGATCTTTTGGCTTGGTCGAGTCGTTCGTAGCCATCACATATAGCCCAGCACCAGCGAAGTCAAAGTCACAATACCGCGCTCCGTAAGTGTACAGAGTTTATGAGCAACACAACAAAGTCAGTGTCCAACGTTCATCAAGCTTTCAGTTTCAGTTTGGGAAGGACAGGAGGCTTGATGGCCTGTGTTAGTCCTGGCAACGATGGTCTCTCAGTTGATACAACTTTCTTTTCAAAGAGTCGACGGATGAAGCCTCAAACACTCGTTGATGATTCGATGGGAAGGTCGATAGTCAGCTGACAATTAGTTTGTTCTAGGCTTGTGAACGTTTTTGGAGTGTCCTCGTAAATTCTCTGTTTTGAAAGATAGGAAAAACTAGGGCATATCATGTGCAAATTTATCACTAAGCAATTTGAAAACTGTAGTCAAGTCGCCTCTAGTTCTTCTATTTGACAACAAGAAAAGGTTTAGTTTGGCCGATCGAGCATCACACGGAGGCTTCGCTATTCCGGGAATCAGCTTAGTCGCTGTTCTCTGAATCTTTCCCAAAAGCTCACTGTCTTTTTTAAGCAGAGGCTAGCCGCTTGTGTGCAGCACTCAAGTTTAGGATGCACGAACACTGTATACAAAGTCAAAAATGTTTTAGCATCGACGTGAATAAAGGTTCTACGTATTGACCATGAGGTTCTAAAACTTTTGTTGGCTATTGTACGACAGTGTGCGGCAGTCTTCAAGTCTTGGCTAACGATGACTCCTAAGTCATTGTGTGTCTGGACAATGGGTAGCTCAGTGTTATTCATCGTGTATGTATCTGTACCTTAATGACTGATATGCATCACAATACACTTGGAAGTAATAAACGGCAACTGCCAGGTTAGAGACCATTCAGATAATTTCTTCTGGTCATTTTGGAGTTCTAAGCTATCACCCTTACTTTGTATCGCTCTCCATATCTTGACATCGTCAGCATATAACAAGACCGATGATGACAGTAGATGAGGAAGGTCACTTACATACAAAGGGAATGGCACTGGCCCCAAAACTATACCCTGGGGCCCGACACTAAGTACAGTTTCCCAGTTAGACAACTATGAGTTCACCTGGATCCTTTGTTGGCGCCCAACTTAGAAGTGTTTTATCCACATCAATAGATTTCCTCCAACCCCAACACTTTTTAACTTATATAACAGCTGGTCGTGCGGAACTGTGTCAGTAACTTTGCTGAAGTCAATGTAGGCTACGTCTACAGGTAACATTTGGTCCTTAAGAGCGCACCAACTTTCACGAGCGACCAATAAGTTAGTGAGACAGGAATAACTTATTCTGAAACTGTGATGTTTCTCCAAAAGGATCCAGTTTTCATCGACGTACTTAAACAACTTTCAAAAAATCTTTTCTAAGATTTCAGCAACCACACTAGTTAGGCTAACGGGTCGGTAATCCTCAGGTTTATGTTTCGTACCTGTTTTGAAGACAGGATATACTATGGCGTTTTTCCAGTCTTTGGGTAAACGACCCTGCGTTACGGATAGATTAAAGCATATACTTGAAGGGTTCGCAATGAAGTTAGATAATTCCTTTAGTGGCCTAGTAGCAATTCATCGGGCCCTGTAGATTTACCTATGTCCAGCTTATTTAGTAGACCAAAGACATCGAGTTCTTTAATGGCCACGTTATCCAGTGTATGTGTGGGAGGATTTGTATGCACTGACGGGAAGGATGCTTCTATGGTATATGCATTGCTAAAGTAGTTTTAGAACACTTGGGCCTTACCAAAGTCGTCCTCTACCAAAGATGCGGCAGTACTGTCTCCCCATAGTGCAGGAACATTTCATCTTTTTGTCCTTCGGTTTATATAGGAATAAAAGCGTTTAGGACATTCTATGGATTCCTTAACAATTTTTCCTTCGTACAACCTTCTGGACTTACGGAGGATCGAGGCACAGACATTCCGGGCTTTTTGATACCGAGATTTTGTTTCATCAGTCTCAAGTAACCTATCCCTATCCCACACTTCTCTTCTCTTACAGAGAAGGATGCAGACCTCCCTGCTGAACCGTGGTGGGGAGTTTCTCGACCCCTTTGGTGTAGTCCAAGGGATGTAGGTTACTGTAACTTTTAAGCGCAAATTTCGAAACACGTCCCGAGCTGTTTCGATTGAGGACTCTGGGTCTGTTGTCCAATCTACTGACGATACTGAGTGCATGATATCTTGTATCTTTGCTTTCCAGAGGTTAGGTCTGGATTGAGCTAACGTGTGCTCGTGACTTACAGTTATATGGAAGTCAAAATTTAAAATTGCGTGATCACGTTTCCCAAGGGGTGGCGTGTAATCAAGGTTCGCAAGGTCATCCTCACAGTGAGTCAATATAAGATCTAATAAGAATGATTCAGTGTCCGGGTCGTACCTAGTCGCTTCTTTCACATGTTGAACCAGGGCACATGTGATAACCGCATCAACTAGTTTCTGCTCGAAGGAATTATCTGGCGATTCAGTTAGCAGATTTTCCCAGTCTACTATAGGTCCATTAAAGCCCCCTAGGATTAGACATCGACCGCTTTGGGACCAAGTATTGAGAATGCTTAGCAAGATCTCATTTACTTCACAGCTTGGACTGCGATAGGCTAAGCCAATCAGCATCGTTTGACCCTTGCATTTCAAGCGGCAACTAACTGATTCACACTTCCCAATCTCATGGGTTTCACTGTCGATAATGGTAAATGGGATAGCATTCATAATGAATAGAGCTACCCACCCTCCCTTACACTTCTGGATTCTGTCGGCTCTTACCAACGCAAAACCCTCGAAATCAAGTTTCATACTATCTATAGGCTGCGTCAGCCAAGTTTCTGTTACTGCAATTATATCTGGCTTTATAGAGTCAATCTGTACACCTAGTTCTGACCGCTTATCGAGCGACCTTCAGGAATTAGTGTAGCAGATCCGTAGCCTATTTAAGTGGCTTCGTGCTGCACCCAGAGTGGGTTCGGCACCATTCTCTTTCGAGGCCTTGCAACCCAAAAATTTACCATTTTTATGTCCTTTTCACCAGCGTCTAACCTTAGTTGTGGTTCTTCTTCGGCTTCTTGTCTTTTACAGGGTTTGCCAGCTGTGAGTCGGCTGTTTCCGAGGTCACCTGAGTTTGCTTCACATCGATTTTCGTGTCGATGTGTCCCGACTGCGCTTGCTAAAACACTTTTTTGCGGAATTTACTGCCGAGATTGTCTCGGTTAGCAAGCTGTTTGCGTCCAAACAGCACTACTGACAAAGCCATACGCAACCGTTTTTACTAAACCGTTTGAAAGCCGCAGGCGTTAAATTCGTGCAAACTTCATGGTATCAGCCTTTGCACTCATCGCACTGCATGCCGCTTCAAAGGGATGTCGATAGCACGGACGTTGGAAACTGCTTTTTTTGCACTGTCCAGTCATTAAACAGAGGTAGAGAAAATAGTACCCAGAGACATAATGATCTATGACCAAAAAAAGTGGAAATCGTTGAAACACTTTCTGCCTGATATTTGTACTGGGATCCAAATCTCCACGTTTTTTGTTGATTGGTTGAACATTAGTGATAGATTGTATGGGCAATGCATTAACAGAGTTTGTAGTGGCATTGGACCATAACCACACAATCTTCAAAGCTGAACATAAGACTACTCAGAAAATAGATATTCAATATTTAACACGGAGAAATACCTTACAATGGATAAGGCGCGGAGAATGAATTGAATGGACTGGAGTTGATCGAGTGGCATGGCTCGGCCATGCAGGCGTGGTCTCTATTCATATTAAATATATTGTTCTTTCTCTAACCTAACCTTGTTCTTCATCGTGTATTGGTAATTGATACGATACAGTGAGTTGGCGTAGTCGATGGTGTGACTTCCACGTAAGATCTTATAGATTAGGCAGTTATATCATGACGAATCTACAAATTTAGGATTAGGTCTATTATTAGAGCAGTACTAATATCATAGTAGACCATAGTTCTACATTGGTAAGCCCGACTAGAGAAACGCAACCTATTATTGTTTATTTCCATTCTAAATTTCTTGATCTATTTTGTATTTATGTTAACCCAATATTCTAACAGTCCTGATTAATGCTCACATGTATTATCGTAATGTTGTATTGATTAGTCCTCATGACAAACTAGCTCAATCGATAATAAAAATTGGTCGTCTATATTAACTAATTAGATTTGATGGTTCATTAACAAGCTTTAATAGCATTTACATGCTTCAGCGACGTAGACTTGTATAAGCATCAAGCTCTAGCAAATATGACCTGTAAATAACGCAAATATACATTGACTAACAATGCAGCAAGGACTAAATAGTTACCTGTATCTAATATTCAGTGTTCCTTATCTTATCACCTCATCCTGTTTTAAACTATGCACTATCCTGTAATATCTTTTCTTCCGACCACTGCCTGCCTAATTTCATATTCTCGAGTTCCATTGCCAAACAACAAGGATGACACTTCTCCAAAAACATACGGTGAGTTTCATCTATAGGTTTTCTGCAATCATAAGTTCATTTTAGATGGCTCGTCCAATAACAACCACACAATTAACTGAATTCATTCGATTGTTCTGATCCGAGCGAGTGGCAGAAACGTCAACACCATCAAGCACCCTGGAATTAATTGCCATACTGCATGTTTTATTCTGGATGCTTTTGGATCATTACTACTCACGAATGGGGTTATATATGTCGTCCACTAAATAATCTAATTTTCAAAAATAATCCAGGCGAGTTCAACTATTTTACTTAATGATTTTTTTTTACTTAACATGTATATGTTTTCTGGTTCCTTTTGCTATATATTTGTAAGTGTCCCTAGGCTAAATGCAGTAACTTCTTATGGAATGTAATTATTTTCTGGTCATGTTCATTATTTTTAAATTTTTATATACGTCAACAACCTGCATGTTAACCTGGCCCGTACATACGTTACACTATATCTTCATATCTTTTGAATTTAGAAATCATCTGAATCGCCTTTAACATTTATCAATAAACCCATCAT